GCCAGGATGGTCTCGATCTCCTGACCTCGTGATCCGCCCGTCTCGGCCTCCCAAAGTGCTGGGATTACAGGCTTGAGCCACCGCGCCCGGCCGGTTCTTTGACTCATTCTAAGTTGCTTTTCTATCTTGCCTTGAAGTGACTCTCCTCCTGGATAGTGGGCTAAACCAAAGAGCCTAATGGTACAGTATGCAAAGGGTTAGCTGGTAGCCCTTCCTTGAGGCAAGCAAAGAGTTACCATTACACTCTGTGGATGGAACACCTGTGATAAGCCACCTACCTGAAGTCATACTGCTAAGTGCTGCGAGAGGGGTTAGAAATTAGGTCTGCTAATTTCTATACCACAGTCTCCTGCCTACCCCTGTCCCCTGAACTGGTGTCAGCTGTAGCCTCAGTTGCTAAGGGAAAGACGTTTACCATCTGGAAGCAAAAGGTAGTGAGGACGGCAGTGATCGTACGGCCCATTAGTCGAAGGATGAGGAACTGAAGCACAATACATAGCAGGGAGTGGTAGAGCTGGTTTCCTGGATGCAAGAAGAGAGAACATAGCCTGGTTTTTATACTCCCATCTGTCCTGAGACTTCCAATCACAACATAATATATAAAGAAAAAATGTTGGCATCAGGATCTTTTTTTCAGAATAACCTCATGTTTTGGAGGAGAGGATGGAAATTAGTTGTATAAATAAAAAGGATTATTAGGGTGTTATTGTATTTCTTTTCTTTTTTTGTTTGTTTTTTTAGAGATAAGACTTGCTCTGTTGTCCAGGCTTGAGTGCAGTAGCTCAATCATAGCTCACTGCAGCCTTGAATTCCTGGGCAAGTGCCACCACACCCAGCTTGTTACTGTATTTTTGAATGTCTGAAGTGAAGAATGAATCTAAGTGGAGATTGCCTGGCTCATTCAGTTACATCCACAGCAGAGAGAAACTGAGGATTCTTTGTTGATGGGGTCTGGCAAGGGTAACCACCCTCAAAATGTTTTTATCTGACAGAGGAATGTACACAAAAGACAAAAAGGAAAAGTTAAGCTGTGTTCCTGTCCATACAACCCTCTTTGCAAGCAGGAGCATTATAACTTCCCTACCTATTAGATTCTCTCAAGGAAATTCCATTCAAGTCTGTTCCTTCCAGGTTCCCTCTAACTGCAGTGTCACTACTAACTTGGTTTACTCACCGAAGTTAAAATAAGCAATTGAGAGGCCTGTAAAGGTATGGTAGAGGTGGATGAGGTAGCTCTCCTTGTAGAAAAGGTAATGCCGATAAAACAAAGCAAAGGGGTAACCTAGATGGAGAAAAAGATAAGAGTGTTATTTGTCCCTGGTGCCATCCCAATTTGGTTTGGAAGTTTATCTGGCATGAAACGCAGCCCAGAGGGAGAGAGAGAGAAAAAAAAAACAACAACATACATTATATGGATGGCAACAGAGAAGGCAAGAACAGTATCCCAAGAACCAAAAGTTTTTTTGTAAATGGAAATTTTGAACTGAAGATATTAATATTTGATTGAGGCAATATAAAGCTGGGTCCTAAGACTAGGTTTCATTATAGCTTATGAACTATTGCCAGACATTTTCTCTTACTTGAATTAAAAAAAATGATACAAGGAAGCTAGGCATGGTGGCTCCCACTTGTAATCCCAGCACTCTGGGAGGCTGAGGCAAGGGGATTGCTTGAGCCAAAGAGTTTGACACCAGCCTCAGCAACATAGCGAAACCCCCGTCTCTATTAAAAAACAAGATACAGAGATTTGAGGGTACCCATCTATGCTCCAGAAACACTCATTTACACTTTGTGATCTATCTTGCTAGCACAGTATTATCAGATTATGAGGACAAATATAAATTAATTATCAGGCTAAATACTGGAATTGCTGACTGCATATAGCAGTTACAAGATATGTGGAGATACTCCTCACAGTCTGTAATCTGGGCATCAATCAAGTTATAAAATTCATTTAAGTATACTGGAAAAATGTCTTCTAAAGCCACGATTCAGAGTATAGTCCAAAGGCCATGACTGAACCACAGAGGATCTCCTGATGGGTCATGAACTGACTATACACGGCCAAGGGTTGCTTATTGAATTAAAAGCGGTCAATACCATTTGGTATTCCTAAACTAAAATTAGCATATTCCGTGGCTTTACTGCAGACTGAAGGTGTTCAGTGTTCTATCTAGAGGTCTGGCTGCCACGCCGGGCAACATTCCCACTGCACTAGTGCGTATGTGGAGGATGGGAATCTCCCAACTGCTTTTCGGAAAGACATTCTGCCTATTCTTTCATTGATTATTCTCTTGAGTTGGTCATGGTTTATACTTTCTGCAATTCTTGCTTTTATTTTTATTTATTTTGAGACAGGGTCTTGTTCTGTCACCCAGGCTGGAATGCAGTGGCATGATCATAGCTCACTGCAGCCTTGACTTCCCGGGCTCAAGTGATTCTCTAACTTCAGCCTCCTGAGTAGCTGGGACCAGAGGTGCTTGCCACGATGCCTGGCTATTTTGTAATTTTTGTGGACATGAGGTCTCACTATGTTGCCCAGGCTGGCCTTGAACTCCTGGGCTCAAGGAATCCTCCTGCCTTGGTCTCCCAAAGTGTTGGGATTACAGGCATGAGCCACTGTGCCTGATGAATTGCTGCGATTCTTGCTTTAAAATTATGTAAGTGCAGTTTTATCATTGGCAATACAGTTTACTGTGAGTTTGGTTAACTCTAAAATGCTTAGAATAGTATCATACAGAAATAAATTGCTCAATTATTTGTTAAATAAGTAAATGCACAATCATATTATATGTTGGTTTCTGTCCTGCTAGTAATTATTCCCCCATACATTAAAGAAAAAAAAGTCTGGGCGTGGTGGCTCATGCCTGTAATCCCAGCACTATGGGAGGGCGAGATGGGATCACGAGGTCAGGAGGTCGAGACCATCCTGGCTAACACGGTGAAACCCCGTCTCTACTAAAAATACACACACACACACAAAAAAACAAAAAAAACCCAAAAACCATTAGCCGGGCGTGGTGGTGGGCACCTATAGTCCCAGCTACTTGGGAGGCTGAGGCAGAAGAATGGTGTGAACCCGGGAGGTGGAGCTTGCAGTGAGCTGAGATGGCGCCACCGCACTCCAGCCTGGGCGACAGAGCAAGACTGTCTCAAAACAAACAAACTGTACTGATGTGTGTCCTACTTTTCCCATATAACAGCATATCCACCATTTGATCTTCTTGGTGCCAGGACCAACTGGTGTTTTTTTTTTGAGATGGAGTTTAGCTGTCTTTACCCAGGCTGGAGTGCAATGGCACGATCTTGGCTCACTGCAACCTCCGGCCCCTGGGTTCAAGCGATTCTCCTGCTTCAGCCTCCCAAGTAGCTGGGATTACAGGTGCCCATCACCATGCCCAGCAAGTTTTGTATTTTTAGTAGAGACGGTGTTTCACCATGTTGGCCAGCCTGGTCTCAAACACCTGACCTCAGGTGATCCACCTGCCTTGGCCTCCCAAAGTGCTAGGATTACATGCGTGAGCCACCACGCCTGGCTAACTGGTGTTTTTTTTTAATTGCTGTTCCCAAACTGGTGTTTTTTTTTTTATTGCTGTTCCCATAATGGGCTAGGCTCTTAATTAAATTTATAGCTTCATGCAAGTATAGTTGACCCTTGATCAACACAATTTTGAACAGCATGGCTCCCCTTAGACTTCCTTCTGCCTCTGCCACTGCTGAGATGGCAACCCTTCCTTTCTCCTCCTCTTTGCCTGCTCAACCTGAAGATCATGAGGAGGAAGACCTTTATGCCGATCCACTTCCACTGAGTGAAGAGTAAACATATTTTCTCTTGCTTATGATTTTCTTAATAACATTTTCTTTTCTACAGTTTACTTCATGGTAAGAAATACATATATAATACAAATGACATACAAAATACACGTTAACTTGTTTATGCTATTAGTAAGTCTTCTATTAGTAGCTAAGTTTTTGGAGAGTCAAAAGTTTTATGTGGCCGGGTGCGGTGGCTCATGCCTGTAATCCCAGCACTTTGGGAGGCCGAAGCAGGCGGATCACGAGGTCAGGAGATCGAGACCATCCTGGCTAACACGGTGAAATTCTCTCTCCTCTAAAATACAAAAAATTAGCTGGGCATGGTGGTGCACATCTGTAGTCCCAGCTACTCAAGAGGCTGAGGCAGGGGAATCACTTGACCCCGGGAGACGGAGGTTGCAGTGAGCTGAGACTGAGTCACTGCACTCCAGCCTGGTGACAGAGCGAGACTCTGTCTCAAAAAAAACACAAAAGGCCGGGCGCGGTGGCTCAAGCCTGTAATCCCAGCACTTTGGGAGGCCGAGACGGGCGGATCACGAGGTCAGGAGATCGAGACCATCCTGGCGAACACGGTGAAACCCCGTCTCTACTAAAAAATACAAAAAACTAGCCGGGCGAAGTGGCGGGCGCCTGTGGTCCCAGCTACTCGGGAGGCTGAGGCAGGAGAATGGCGTGAACCCGGGAGGCGGAGCTTGCAGTGAGCTGAGATCCGGCCACCGCACTCCAGCCTGGGCGACAGAGCCAGACTCAGTCTCAAAAAAAAAAAAACACAAAAAAACAAAACGTTATACGTGTGGGCCGGGTGCGGCAGCTCACACCTGTAATCCCCTACTTTGGGAGGCTTAGGAGGGTGGATCACCTGAGGTCAGGAGTTTGAGACAAGCCTGGCCAACATGGTGAAGCCCCGTCTCTAGTAAAAATACAAAAATTAGTCAGGCATGGTGGCAGGCACCTGTAATCCCAGCTACTTGGGAAGCTGAGGCAGAACTGCTTGACCCTGGGAGGCAGAGGTGGCAGTGAGCTGAGATCACGCCACTGCACTCCAGCTTGGGCAATTTTTTTTTTCTGTCTCAAAATAAATAAATAAATAAAATTTTATGAGGATTTTTGACTGTACAAGCGGTGGGCTCCCATAGGCCCTGTGCTGTTCAAGGGTCAACTGTAGTTAATTCTACCGATATCTTGTGGATTACTGGCTCATGTATTCATTGACCAAGTGTTTAGTAAATGCCTGCTATATGCCAGGTATTCTGTTTATGGAGCATGTAACTGGGAGGAGGTGGCATGTGATGGTTCATTTTCTAGCTGACTGAGATGATGGGATATAGGATCACTAGCTCAAGGGAGGTGGAGAAGTCTATGATCCTTTCAGGCAGATGAATGAGCAAGAAAATAGGATCAAGTCTCATACATTACATACGGGCAGAAATTTGGCAGAGATAGAACACCAGGTTAGCAGCAAATATTGCTAAGAACTAGAGCCAGGAACTAGATACTATATAGACTAAAAGTCAATGTCTTCAATCTTTTGCTTTATTTTTACTTTTTTTTTTTAAGTAATGGGGTATAAATAAAAATATAAAAGAGTAGATAATTATCTAGAGCACTCATAAGTTCTAGATGTCTAAGTTTATTAAAGATAAGCATGAAAACCCTTAACCATTTGGAATGCTTGAAATTAAAAAACACTACACATACTATTCTGCCTCTTTAACTTGAATCTAGTTTAACATTTTCTAGGTGTCTGGATCATAGCTATTCCAGAGTAATGTCATGATCGCTTTATGACGTTCTGAGGTATGTGAAATTGTCTGCCTGACTCTAATAAGGCCTACACTGTCCTGAGTTCTGAGTTCTTGTGTCCACTTCTTATAGCCTGTCTGTCCCTTTCCTTGCTACTCTGGGATTAATAGTCACCTCTTGAACTTCCGGGGTGCTTGGCAATAGTTCCTCTCCCTACTCCCAATTTACTGCAGGCCTTAAAAACCATAACCTTATTTTAAAGGTGTAAAAAAAAAGATTTTAAGACAAAAGCAGGGGGCTTGGGTGCTTTCCTTATGGACTTAGTGCACAGGCCTGGTAACATCTGTTCTGGCCACTGAGAGGTCTTGTGTGCTATTTCTTGCTTTCAGGTGCGTTTTGCGGGAGGGGACGTTGTTGAGTTCCAAACAGGTGAAGTATTGCACACTAGCAAACACATGACAAGAAGGTGGAGGAATTGGGAGAAAAATAAAAAGAATGCAGCAGGCCAGGTTACCAGGAACATTAAGACGGTGACAGAGAACAGCAAAGCCTGGAAGGAAGCCGCCGTGGAGAAGGAAGAA